TTTTGTGGCACTCAAGTAGAGAAATAGGCTAATTATCCATTGAATTATGTTGATTTTTGGGAAGGAAATGATGGACAAAAGTGGAAAAGGAGCTGAACTTGGCAGGAATTGAGCCCCTGATGTCGCACCTGCGACGAAGAGTTAGCTTAAGCGAATGGTCAATGGAAGTCAACAGGCCACTTATGTGACCCTACGGGAGTCGCTTTTGCGAACTACACAAAAAGAGTTTGGTTCGCTTAAGCGAGAGGAGTGTCGCTTTAGTGACATTCGCTTTTGCAAATTTCCATCCCTTTTGTGAAGTCTGCTTACTTGGACAAGGGCATATTTGGAATTTCTCAGAGGTTGGATCCCAATTCTCACAAAGGAGATGAAGAGAAAGATTATTCCATATCATATTTTGAGGATAGATAGCTTAGACTAAGGAATAATTCTAATTTTCTAGTGTTCATATATGTCACACCCCTTTTTTCGTTCCATGGCGGCGGAAGGGTTTTTCCAATTTAAGTGACGGTATTGATTTAAGGATTATTTTATTTTCGTTTCAGAGTCGCCACTTGGAATTGAGTTATGGTGTTCCAAGTCACCTTTTGTTTAATCCTTAATCAAAAGGAAATGACTCTTTATATGGTTTGCGAACTAGAAATTCGGGTAAGGAATTTTGTTGATCGAGGGGAAGGTATTAGGCATCCCTCGAGTCCCGTGGTTCTAGCACGGTCGCTTTTATTGACTTCTACCTACTTTAAATCATTTGTGGATATATTATTTTCAGGTCATGACTTGTTTGCATTTTTATTGTTGAACTTTTATTTGGTCTCAAATCGGATGTATAACTGCATTCTCGACTTTTGACATATAAATAGCTTATGAACATAATTGTTTTCTTCTCTCGAGTGCATCACCTAATTTTATCTATAAGTGATCTTATTTTAAATTAATGAAAGTTATTATATTTTTGGACAAGGTGCGTCACCGCATCCTTGAATTTTTTTTTTCAATGTCTCAAAAAAGATGCGCAACCGCATTCTTAATTTTTTACAAATATTTTTTAACGTGCATAAAACTCATCTATTATTAAAAGTACTTACTCTTATTTTTTTTTTGAATTCTAGACAACTAATCTTCTCATTTCATTATTATATTTATTGATGATACTTTTATTTAAATTAATCCACATGTTAAAATATATATTAGAATAATTTTATCAAGGTGTGTAACCACATCCTTGAATTTCTTTTAAGTGTTTCAAAAAAAGATGTGTAACCACATTCTTAATTGAAACAATTTTTTTTTTTTTGTTTACATGCCTAAAACCCATCTAATGTTATAAAAAAAATATTAAATAAAATCAAATAAAATTAAACAAATCTAAACTTCTAGGATACAATATAATTTTTGGATTATCTTATATTCTTTTACTTTTATTCACCCTTAAAGTTAATGTTAAAATTAGGCCTACACATATTATATTTTTTTTATTTTTTTTTTATCTTGAAGTTAATGGCGAAATTAGGCATACTCACATTGTACTTTTTATTAATCCAACAAAACAATGACGAATTGCTAAAATAAATCTCATTCTTTATTTAATAAATAAAACAACAATAATTTTGTGAACCCAATAATTCCTACTTTATTATTATTAGCATCGAAATCAAGAAAAGAACAACATCATGACCCATTCATTTTAAGACATCACAACTAATGAACAAAAATAGATAAATAAAAATAACCACCAATAAAGTTACTTTCATTCATTAAAGAGATATAACACTTAACACATTCTTCATTTTAATCAAATTATGAATAAAATAAAAGTGTAAGAAAACTTATCATAATAATTACATCAAATTTCATGAATAAATTAAATAAGAAGATAAAGTAAAGTTGAATACCGCAAAATCTTAACCGAAGCTCGATTAGAACACCCACAACTTTTGTAGGTTGTTTGTGACGGTATATGTGTTTGTGTTGATGTAAAAAAATGGGTAAGGAAGAAAAGATGTGAATGTGTTGGTGAATTTTTAAAAGAAGAATCCAACAAGGATGTGTGCAGATTGTGTTTTTTCTTGTTTCTTTTTTCTGTCCGTTTTTGTTGCTGTCCGTTCTTTCCTTTCCGTTTTTGTTTTCTAAGGGTTTGTTGTAATATAGGTGTATGTGTGTGCCGTGTTGTGTGTGTGTCGTGTGAGGGGAAGTGGGGGTTAGGGTAAAGTGGGGGTGAGGGTAATGGAGTGGAGTTGGGTAGTGGAAGATAGGTTTATTTTTTATTATAAATTAAATATATATAAAAATTATAATAATGATAATATTAATAATAAAATAAATAAATATATTAATTAATTATTTTGCACTAATAAAATATAAGAAAAGTCAAATAGCTAGTCTAAAAATATAATTAAGAAATACTATCTTGTTTATTAAAATCTAAATTAAAAGAAAACATATATTTTTTGTAGTTTTCAGATCTTTTAAAATAAACTTACTAAAATACGATGAAAAAATAAAATATTTAATGGAGACCTAGAAGAAATATTTAAGGAATAAAAATGGTGTAAAACCTTATGTTCGGTCAAAAATTACGTGTCTACAATATATATTTTAGGTTGAGACTTTGAAAGCAAGTTGTCTCACAATTCGCATGTGGGTTTGAAGAATGTGTACTTAATAGTAAAATCTCTTGTTTCCTTCTTCATTTCCTTGCTTTACATTGCTAGAATTTTTTATGTAATTGTGTATATTAAATTGAGACTTTTGTGCAAAGAAATAGACAAAGCTATTTGGGTATTTGATTTATCACTTTATTGCTTTTGTGAATCCTTGATTCCATGAAATAAGTTTAATCTAGTTTTCAGGCTTAAATTTATGATTTGAGAGTGCATGCTTGAATCTAGCTTCCGATCTTTATTCATTGCTCGAAAAAGTTCGTGAAGTGTAGAATTAGGTTAATAATCATATTTGACTTTGAGTCTTAAATTTGAGATCGAAAGAAAATAATTTAGGTCTACTTTGTTGAATGCTAAACTTGCTAGAAATAGGGGTTTATATTAAGGTCTTAGATTGCTTTGTTGTTGAACACGATTGAGACTGGAAGGAGATATTGTGAAATAACACTTTGAGACCGAAAGGATATTAGTGTTGACTAATGATGATCTAGCCTATCTATAATTGATTTAGCATGGTTGAATTGCAATAGGTCATTGAGTGTTGATAGAATTTTGAATTTCTCAATTCTCATATATTCCTTGCTTGATATTGTCTATGCCCAAAACCATGGCTTGTTTACGAAAATCAATTTTGATTTGATAATCTTGTATAGTGCATGTTTAGGTTCATACTCATAGCTATTCATTCTTTATCGTTTCAACTGCCGATAAATTGTTCCTTGTGGGATTCGACCTCGACTCTTAGTTGGGTATTTTTATTGACGACAATCGCTTATTATTTTAACTTGTTTTGAAGGTAATTTGAGTGTTATCACTCTGTGGGGGATAATATTGACAATCATAGATCGGAAATCATTGGGTTTTACCCTTTTTTGTGTTGAAAATTCTCACCTTTATTGTTTTTGAGCTTAGGTGGCTTGGGGGGATTTTTGGAGTAACCCTCGTTTGTTTTCTCCCTGAAAAGTGGGAGGAATAAGTAAAAGACATTGCTTTAATTAGAGTCTGATTCTGTCAGTCCTGCTATAGCAGACATGCAGACGCTATAGTGGCGCCTCCATAGCAAGAGGCTTCCCACTATGGCACACATACATTAGCCCAGATCAATTCAAATTTAAATAATTTTGTCATCTGCCCTAAGTCTTAATTTGGTACCGTATTTCAAGAATTTTTGAAACTCCGCACGAGGTGAATTTAAATAATGACGGATTAGGTCGTTACACTCTTGTACTTATCCCAATTTGACATTTCGGCTCCTATGCTCCTAAAAGTTTCATTCAGAGAACTTAACTCGATCAAAATAAATATCTTATATCCCTCAAACACATGTGTATTCCTACTTGCAATTGACATGGATGACACATAAGATCCACTGTTGGGATCAAAATAGTTGGCATCTTGCTTAAGTTAGCAATTACAAACTATGATACTGATAAATATGAGACAAAGAAAACTATAGAAAATAATAACTAGACATGATATGAGTTTGGTCAATTAACCTACATATGATAATACTAATATAAATTATTTTAAAGTTATTGAGAGAATTTATCTCTCCCTAAACAGAATTTTCTAAATGACTATATTTTGAATATTATCATGTTCTTCATTAGAAGAAGTTCTTCATTTATTGAATCACAAGACTTCTCTTCCAAGAAAAGAAAAGACATTCTAGAGTCCTTTTCCACAACGAAAATCTTTTCTACCAAACTTTTATTAAAAGTAAAATACGTTTATAATAGATTTCAAATAAAGGAAATTTAAGAGAAATACTAACATCTACATCACTTGCCACAAGTCCCACAACCTTCTTATATTATTTTAATTACCTTCCTTAAAGAAAAAAAATAATTAAAGTGAAAGAGAAAGGAATATGCAAAAGCATCATAGCTATTCTCACTTTGAAATAATAGATCTAACAATTTTCATGTCTATTCTCACTATGGTTAATGATATTGTATAGGGTAAAAACAATCAGACGTGTGGTCCGGTTAGATCATTATACATGGATAATGATAGAAATTGCGCAAGGTAAAAGAAGATGAAATACATGGTCAAATCGTACGAGGATATTGCAATGGAAAGCCTACAATGTCTATTCTATAGGAACCAAACCGGGATAAAGATCAGAACAACCGTAGGAAGAAACTAATAACCAACACTAATCTTTGGTGATAGTTCAGGTACAAAACTCGCTTACATGACAGTTTAGGTAGGCACATATTTATTATCATTAAATAAGATGAAAGCATACATAATTCAAGTGCAGGAAATGTTCGTGATCTTTATTAATAGATCACTTCTTTTGTGAGACATGCAAGAAGTATCTTAAAAACCTTGGCATCATGCTGTGGTTTCTAGAAGTGGATAGTCAGTATAGCCAACAACAGGATCAGATATGTAGAATGTCTCCCTGATATACTTGTTCAGAGGAGCATCTAGCTCAAATCGCTTTGGTAAATCTGGATTGGCTAAGAATAGACGCCCATATACAACAAGATCAGTTCGATCTTCAAGCAAAGCTTTGTTTCCATCTCCTCTATCGTAACAGCCAGCTACCAAAAAAGTACCTTTAAATGCTTTCCTCATGGGTACAAGGCTTTCAGGACATTCAACTTTTTCCGCAAGTGTTTTCATCCTAGGCTCAACCATGTGGCAATAAGATATACCATACTTATTCAAAGATTCAGCCATGTAAAGACCCAAAGCACTTGGGTTTGAGTCTCCTGATTCCATGTAGTCAGCAAATGAGGAAAGCCTAAATCCAACTCTGTCAGCTCCAATCTCATTTACAACTGCTTCAACTATTTCGAGTGCAAATCTACAACGGTTCTCTAAAGACCCTCCATATTGGTCAGTTCGATCATTGACTTGGTCTTTCATAAACTGGTCAATTAGATAGCCATGAGCTCCATGGATCTCAATCCTACAAATTGAGCAGATTACATAAGAAAAACTTGGTTTGAATGAGTGTTTTAGTTTGAAGACAATACTGTTGTGATAGTACATGGAGAGTTATTCAATGAAAGGATTGATGTTATTCAATGAAAGGATTGTACATCACAACTGATCAACTCACCAATAAATCAATCTAACAAAGAATAGATCAATTAATCTATTCTTTCGAGATACTAGCTACTCATCTTTAAAAAATATAGTACAAATATTTTCTATTCCAGAATATCAGACTGAAATAGTTTTCCATTAAAGCAGTGAACTTTAGAAGAAATTTTTACCAGCTTCAATGGCATTTCTAGCAGCATGCCGAAAATCGTTTACAATGTGAGGAATTTCATCTGTTGTAAGGCGCCGTGGAGGGGTAAATTCTGCAACATCTAGTCCAATTTGAGGTGTTAATGGCTTGTCTGTGCATGATATAGGATCCTGTCCATTGGGCTGGAAACCTGTAGTTAGGAGTGGGTCAAAGTTACATTTAGTGATACATTAATTTTCTCTTCCAAGTGAGTTACCTGTGTTGGAAACTCTGCCCACATGCCAAATTTGGCAAAAGAAGATTCCTCCTTTGGAATGGACAGCATTTACAATTGGTTTCCAGGCCTCCACTTGCTCCCTTGTCCATATTCCAGGAGTATCAGTGTACCTTCCAATTAATAGGTGAATTTAGCAAAGAGTATCTAGAAGATGGCAATTGAGAAGTTGGTTAATTGCGGTTACCCTTGGGCAGTATCAGAAACTCCTGTGGCCTCGGCTATTAGAAGACCTCCTTTTGTGGTTCTTTGTGAGTAATAAAGGATAGCATGTGGTTGTGGAACATTACCATATGATCTTTGCCTTGTTAATGGCGCCAATACAACTCTGGTAAACATATCAAGTGTTATAATAACGAGTAAATCACATTTTATCCATAGTTACGTAACCATAGATTTAAACGATACGATACAATAGAATTTAAGTAACAATTAAAACAAATATTGTATTTAAGCTAACAATATAATACAAATACAACAGGTAACAACCATCCAAATGGTAAAAAAAGGAATGAAGAGAAAATTGAATGGATGTGGTAGAAAAATACTTATGTGATAGCTGAAAGTTTCCCATTTTATAAGGGCTCAGTAGAGGGATATGTTGTTGTTTCCCTTCACCTGATTTGTTTTCCATTTCTTGATTTATGCAGCAATGACAGATAATAGCTATACAAATTTATAGGAAAGGAGAAAGTATAATATAAGGGAGTGGATCATGTGCTTAGATTCATTGCTTTCTTTTTTTATAATATCATACATAATTAATAAGGTCTGTGTACATCCAACCTGTTTTCGAGACTTCACTTGTAGGATGATATTAAGTATTTTATAGTTATTCAATTTACATAGGACAACTAAAATATTTTGGTGTTAGGCCATCAAACTTATTGAGACGATTCTGATCATAACCACCTTTATAGGAGAAATACATGACTATCATTGTTTTCATGTAATAATAAAATCACGTATGAGAATTTTAAAGATGAAAAGAGAATAAAATGTGGGAGAAGGGAGAGTATGTGTGTCTGTGTTTTTTGAGTGTACAAGTAAGAGAGGGGAAAGAGAGATCAATAATTTAATGGTTAAATTTGGTAAAGTTTAAAACTTTGACCCATGTTAACAATGTACTTCAGTCAATTGTACTTTCAAGTATCTAAATGTTATGGTATGACTAATACATTATACATGTATTATTTTGGCATAATACATAAACATGACTCTTAACTTGGCGTCAGTCGATAACTATGACCTTTAACTTTGAATGTGCATAAGTAGACACTTAAACTTGTATAAAATTGAATAAATAGACACATCCATCCTACATGATACCCTACATGGAAATTTTGTGTCTACATGTAAAATGCCATGTAGGACACATGTGTCTACTTATTTAATTTTATACAAGTTTAAGTGTCTACTTGTGTATACTCAAAGTTGAAGGGCATAGTTGTTCGCTGAAGCCAAGTTAAGGGTCATGTTTATGTATTATGCTTATTATTTTTGATGATGCATTCTACCAAACAATTTCTTAAGCTTAAAGTGCAGTGCATAAGAAAATGTTAAATATAGTGTATTACTAATGCTAGCATTAACTATAGATAAATAAAAATTTTATGCATTGTTTGGTTTGGTGTATTAAAAATAACATGCATTGTATAATTATTTTTTTTACAAAAGTACCCTTCACAATTATAGTGGAAAAGATGTAAAAAAAATTGAGTGAAAATGATGTCTTTAATCATGGTAATACATGTATTAAAACATCTTGCATTACTAATACCTAAATATTTATGATATTAATAATAAATACTTAAATACAGAATAGAATGTATAACTAATGATTACATTAGTTACTCATAGCATAAAAGAGTGTACCAAATAATATATTACTAATATATAGAGTTAATGTAGACATTAAACGACCCTTGCTTTTGGTAGAAAAGAGAAATAATGCAGCATTTTTATCAAAATATATTTTATTCAAAAAGTTTCTTTAGAAAAATGATTCTTCTGCTGAAAGCAACGAAAACAAGTTCATGCATTTCTCATTAATGAGTTGTTTAGTAAGATTTATTTTTAAAATATAATATATGTGTCAATTACGGTATTATTTTGTTCTTTGTTTAGTAGATTTTTTACTCTATTTATAATTAATACATATATTAGATTAGTTTTATATACAGTATATTCAATATTATAAAATGTATAATTAATATATATCAAATCATGATATTAATAATACAAAAATTATTAATACATGAGCAAACAATCTCTACATAATTAATACATCACATTACTATTATTTTTCCCTCATATTTTTGAATTTTTGTTTCAGTTGATGATATTTAAAGATACTTGCACAATTTCCATATTGCTACACTTTTGGGTGACATCAACAATAAGTCAAAAATTATGATTGAGTCAAACTTTGCTTTTTGTGTGGTCTTGATTTGAGGAATTAATATGATTTTTTATATTGAGAGAAAGTATTGCATTTTGGCTGAACTGATGGAGAATGACAAGTGCGCTGACGTACCATGACAAGCAATATACTATTTACTTTTTTTAAAAAAAGGGAAAAAGTCTACTCTAAAATATATTGAGGGGAGTTAGAGCTGTCGAAATGGGCTTGACCCGATAGGTCGGTCCAACCCAACCCTTGAATTAAGTGGGGTTGGGCTTAATTTTTCAGCTCATTTAGGAACGAAGTTTATTAGCCCAGCCTATATTGGCCCGTTAGCCTCGTAGACCCAACCCGCAAGCCTCAGAGGCCATCCCGTGGGCTGTGAATTTTAAAAATATTTATCATATATAGTATAAATTTTAGAAATCACATAGTTTTAATATGAAATTACAATCTATCCCTATTTAATTTGTAATTACATTAATTCCCGAAAAAGTAAAACAAATCGAATACATAATATGTAGCTCGGATATATTAAAAACTAGCTCTGATACATTATAAAATAAACTAGATATATAATATGTAGCTCAGATACATTAAAAACTAGCTCGGATACATTATAAAATAAACCGAATACATAATATGTAGCTCAGATACATTAAAAACTAGCTCGGATACATAATAAAATAATTTAGAATTAGGAGAGAAATAAGGGATTTTAGAGGTTTTTAGAAATAGAAGGGAATATTGGAAATAAGGGAAACATAAGACATATATTTCAGTAATTTTTCCTATATTTTAAGTAGTGTTTTATTTGTTAAGATTTTGTCAATAAATATTTTTAAAATATCAATATAAAATCAAGTTAACTATTTTTTATATCTTTTACATTTTAGGGCCATTGACCCACTAAATTTTCTTATTAGCTTAAGTCGATTACTCAATTATAACTATGAATCTTTGACTTCTTCTACTTTTGTTTTTACACCTAATTCTCCACTTCTCCTTTATTGTCTTGTTTATGAAAATTGTGATCATGTAATTTTTTTGCTCGAATGAATCTTATGAATGTTGTAGCTTGACTATTATATTTTTGTTTTGTAAGTATTCATTGAAGTATGTGTAATTCATGGATGAATTTTTGTATGTATTGATGTCGTGTTCATCAGACATCAACATTCGATACTCTTTCTAAGAGGTCAATGTTGTCCATTTTTCGATTGGAGAGCCAACCCATCCCAACCCGCGACCCGTTTAGGGCTGGGTTGGGCTACTATTTTTATTGTCCCTTTAATTAAAAGGGTCAACCCGTCCTAACCCGTTTAACTCTCTAGCCTGTTAGGGTTGGATTGGGTCAGCCCATTTTGACAGCTCTAAAGGGAGCCTTGAACTAGTCGGTAGACAATACATGCTATCTTAATCATTTATTTGCTTATCATGTTTAATTCATTATTTTGCTTACTATTTAGCTATTAATCATTTTATCTACATAGGTTCCAGACTTAATCCATTATCCTTTAAACCTCACATATAATTCAATTGTACCTTTTTATTAAAGAGGAAAACAGTTAGGTGTCCACCATAGGACTTAGGATGATTGTACTATTGTTTTGATCTTACCGATAAGCTTCGAACAAACTTTATTTTTGTGAAGCGGCACATATAAATATCAACTTAATGGCAGTTACTAGAAACACCAATTAGATTAATAGAATAACAATGATCATGTTGGAATGTATGCGTCCACTAGTTACGATAGGGCCAGGTCCTCAACACGATTACAATAACAGAAAGTAAATAAATGCTGAAAGTAAAGATTGTACACACAACTTTACGTGGAAACCTCCTTGCTCAATGGAGTAAAACCACGACCTGTCTCACAGAGATTTTCAAACTACTTTTACTAAACTTCACAAGCAAAAGTAAAACACAGTTTACAACAAGAGATTAACCTGCTAATCTCCATACTAAGTAATACCACCTATTACTTAAACGAGCCTAAGAATATACAACACTGCCCACTATACTAACCCAACTGATTAATATAGACTTTGACGTAAGGCACTAAATTACTCACAACTAAGTTCTTACAATGATTCACCCAAGATTGAAACGTTTCTATCACAAGCGAAACGATTTCTACAATATACGCACAATTACAAGCAGTCAAAGTAACAACTGGTACAGGAAGCAAGGATGCAATCTATCAGGTCCTTGCTGTTTTGAAGCTTGAATATCTTTCTTTGAATGAATAAGTAAAATGTTGTTTGTGTATTGAATATATCAACCATGAAGAGCTATTGTTCGACGTACAAACAACTTCGTCCGTTCTGATTGATTCAGGACATTGGCGCCTCACCAACTGCTAAAGTGACAGCTTACCAGTTGTACAACATATAATCCTGGACGAACATACTCTGCAGAGGAACGGATCCCTGCATTTGTGAGGGGATCATCAAAACATCTAGAAGCATTAATACTTATCATTTCCCCCCTTTTTGATGATGACAAACAACCTACAAACAACCTCACATAAGTGTTAAGCATTCATTCAAAACTGCATTAGTTCCCCCTGTCACTGTTCCACCTATCACTGTTCTTCCCCCTTAATTCAGTTCCCTTCTGATTTCACAACAGTTTACCCCCAAAATTCCCCCTTTAGACATCATTAAAAAGGAGTAGTAGTAAACATATGCGAGTTATATGCAAAGCATTTAAGAATTCAGGGCCATGGCTACACGGAGCATGAGCATGTAAGAAAAAAGAGATTATTAAACCATACTAAGCAGGGCATAGTAACAATTAACATTAGATCACAAAAGCTGACCACAAGAGTCAGTCAAAACAATACACATAGCCACAAGAGTTTTGACACAGAAATGAAGAGACTAGGAGGACATGACTTGTTTAGGACGGAGGGGGAAGGGGATTAAGGGTGCACATTAGCAAGGACATCCTCTCATTTACAGCCTCATGAGCCTGGATAATTTGCTTGTTGAGAGCCATGACTTCTTCACTGAATGAGGCATTTGTCTTCAGCAGTAGTTCATTCTCATCCTTCAACTTTTGCACCACTTTCTCATCCACACCACTGGTACCAGGTCCCTTGGAGACAGCCTTCTGCAACTTAGATTTTAGTTGCGTAATTTCAACCTCCTTATCATTTAAGATCGCAGTGAGATCAATCAACTCACGTTTAAGAGATGCTTGCTGTTCTAGAAGATCCGCCA